TCAAGGTCACTTTACAGTAACACGTAAACAATACCATGAAAAACATAAGAAAAATGTATATATAGCAAACATGGTAGCTAAAATTTAGACATAAACAGTCATAAAAGTATAAAAGCAAATATAAAAACTGAGTAAGGTAAAAAAAAAAGGACCTTGAGGGTCTGAAAGGCGCCTATAAATAAAATGTGTTATTATTATTATTATTATATTATTATTATTATTATTATTTATAGAATACAATGCGGGGGGGAAACTGAATATAAAGTAGTTAGTACCTAAGTCTTAAACATATGCAGAAGTAGTATCTTTCAATTTAATATTGATGGAGAAAATTTTTCAGCAGAATTATTCTTACTTTTGATACTTTATATCATGGTCCTGGGAATGACCCAGTGTTTTGTGTTTGCTTTTTACTTCTTGATTATTGTTAAAGAAGCTTGGAGTTTCTGTTTCTGTACCCTTCCTGTGTTTCACGTTTGGTTACTCTTTGTCTCTGTGCTTCACGTTCCCTCTGTCTCCCCGGTCAGTCATGTCTCTCTCAGTGTCAAGTCTGCTTCTCTGTATTATATTTCCTGTTTTACTTTGAAAGAAGACTGGCAAAGGTGAGTCATCCTAAAGCTCAGGCAAATAATCAATCTCCTCTTGGTTCGGGGCAAGGTTTTTAGCATTGTCCTCCTCCGAAGACATAAGGCCATGGACCAGTAACTCGGCACAGGATGCAGTCTTACAGCGCTTCTGGCTGATCCGGTCGACCCCAAAGATTGACCTGGCGAAGAAGATTCATCTGCTCAATTCCATCATTATACCCACTGTTATCTATGCATTTGAGATGTAGAAAACATCAGCCAAAAATGTTTTTTAAAAAAGGACTCAGTGAGGCACAGCAGCAATGTCTAAGATGGACCCTGCGGGTCTCTTACCGGGACCAGAAATCGACAGCTGGACTGCCACACGTCCCCTCCGTGACATTGTGTCTGAATGGCGTATGCACTTTGGAGATCACATTTTATGCCAGTTGCGCGGAAGACATCCGGAAGACTTGCTGCTCAATGCGCCGAATGGCCAAATGTCTTGTGTGTGTTATTGGCAGGGTTGGGTTTGGGGGGCAGGGGGTGGGTCGTCTCTGCTTGCCTTTCTGTAAAAGTACACCACTATGTGTCAAATCTGTCTTATTTGTGTTATGTTATCTATCCATGTCTCTATGTTTGTATGTATGTATCACAAGTTTCCAAAAAACAGCACTTCAACATTGTTTCATTGCATTAGTTTAATTTTCACAGTTGAATGCATTTGTTTCCTCAGTACAAATCAGGGTATACCCCCCTTCTTCTCCAGCTTAATATCAGCAAACATCCATGTTTCATATGAACACACATCACATTACAGATCATTATTAGCATTAACACATGTCTACAACATGTCGTTAAAACTCTTTTCTTCACTCCTCTCCTTCCACATCAAGCCAAGACTAGTTTTCCTAAAAAGCACCTCAAGGTGAACTTATGGTTAATCTTCCACAGCTTTGAAGAAATTTGAGCTGCAAAGCAAGCCTTTTTTTTCTTGTTGAATTGTCCAGTTTGATTGTGTTAACAAATCGATTGTGTCTAAATTCGTAAATTAAAGATTTTTCATGCAAAAATCCTGTTATTAAATGATTTAAGACATTCTTTAGTAAATTGTACTGACCTTAAAGATCAACCTCAGACTCAGATTTCTTTTTGGAAAACAAGCCCAGTTTGGTTCAAAATCCTAACTTGTCTAGTGCATAAAAAATAAAAAAAATAAAATCAGCTCCTGTCTATAATGAGGCATGATGTAAAATGATCACACACACTCAATCAATCACATCCCATAAAAACACAAAGGACCCAGTAATCACAGCCACCCGAGTCAAAGTGAAACTGAATCATCTGTTTCCAACTTTGCTCAAAACAGTTCAAAGTGTACTAATGACATAGTAAAACCTTACAGCTCATGATCATCAGGGTTTTAATGTCAAAGTTTTTCATTTACAACCACAAATAGAGATTTTTTTCATTTGACAGCTACCTTTCTTTGGAGAATTGCAAATGTCATGGACCAAACATCTAAAACATGTAAAACCAGCCAAGCTGTATACAGTGATAATGACAACGATGTACTGACGTGCAAGAATGTTAAATTATTTGCTGGATGCTTGAAACACCCAAAGAAATCAGTAAATTTAAGGTCACACATCAGTTAGACTAATTGCAAGAATGTAAAGAATTTAAAAAAAAAACAACAACCCAAAAAACCAATCAACTGACTTTGAAAACATAAAATTTATATTAAACTTTGCATGAGAAATTGTTTTCTTCCCAATAATTTGACTCAAATTGTGTCCCAAAAGTGGTAAACCCTAATAAATTTGAAAACTAAAAGTAATAACAAAGGCAGGGAATGAAACTAAAGTAGATTTGTGAAAATGGTTGGCAGTTAAATTTGCACAATGGGTTCAAAGTCGACAACAGCAAAAACTAATTGATGCTGAAACGCATCAACACAAGTGAAACATCAAGTTTGGCTTCTTGTTGACGCGGGTGGCTGCAACAGTAGCAACAAAAAGGCTCTTCTTGGTTTGGTATGAAGTATAAAAAGGAAACAATTAAGACTACTGGGTTCATAGCAGGCATAGAAGGTCAAAGACCGAGCCGCTGACTGAGAGTTTGGCTGCCGCTGAAGGTCTTCATGAGTGTTCAATGTGAGAAGATATGTACGGCTAGCTTGTTAGCAACATTCTAAATACATCGTCGGTGCTACTGAATATAATACTGTCAGTGTTACCGTCAGCAGTTACTGAGTACATGACCGTGCCATTGTGATTTATAATACTGCAGGGCTGTAACAAAATGTCCGAACATTAAAACATATGACAGTAACTGGTGCTAATTTGGTGCTAATGATATAATGCCATTCAGAACACAATTAAATTGTTTTAATTCTGGGGCTTATTTTATCGTTTCACCTAAAAGAAAATGACCCCAACAATGTATCTGTCTGCAGCTATCGTTCTGCTGTACATCACAGGCCATTTAATTGTTTAAAGAAAACAGTCATGTATTCAAGGCTCTGCAAAAGTCCCTTTTCTAGACATTGATGTGTTTACGATTTTGAAACGTGAGTGTACCAGCAAGGTAAAGTGTGTTTTTTTTTACTGTTTTTTTGTGCTGCATGCATTGGTTATTATCACACCAATCATTGGGCCGGGTCTTCTTAAACTGTTGCATATGACATTTTCTTTTTTCAACTTGTTCATGTTGCTGGAATTTGTTGTAGGTATTAGTTTATGCATATTTATGATTGTATTATTTATTAAAAGCTTGTTCAGTGGTTCCTGTAATTGCCTACTTACAGTCAGGTAGCTGTAATTTTTTAATGTGTGAGATAAATAATTTTCTGCCCTTCAAAACAGTTTGTGAGCTCGAAGTTATTTCATTAGTCCCACTCATGAACACTTCAAATGCCCCTGCCAAACTCTCAATGAGCAGCTCCAGCCTAAGGTCAAGGCCATGGAAAGGTTATGCTAAGCTCAAAGGTCACGGTAAGGTCATAACACTGCATTAGGTCAACGCATTTACCCAGATGACGATTGACACTTGGTTTCAAGTTTTAAAGAAAGATGCAAACAGACTCAGAACTTACAAACCTCATACATTCCAGTTTTTCCACAGGACTTCAAACATTATGTCGTGGAAATCAACTACCCACGCACACAAACACACTTTTTTGTCGTTGTTTTTAAAAACAGGCATTCCTTCATTCTCACTGATGTATGATCAGTAATATCACAGACAGCATGATGGATGTGTGGATGGAGCAATATGATTGGTGACACCTCACAGACGCATGACCACATGATGAAAGAGCTCTGTCAGTGTCCAGTCCTTCGTTGCTACCAAATCTATCAAGAACTTGACTTTAAGGTAAGAACTCTTACTTCACACCCTTCAGAAACTCCACTATTTTTTAAATTTAATAAGTATCTATTGAGAATGACAAAATGTTCCAATATCAATGTGGAAAATCATTTGTTTCATCCAAGAAACACAGTCTCATTGGGCAGCACAAGGTTTTTTCAGGGTGCTGACACCACATGTCTACAATGAGACTTTTTTTCTTTTTCATCGTCGTAGTATTTGTTCAGGCTGCTACTGTTTCCCTACTTCACAACTGACTCACACAGACAAACAGACAACAACAGACAGAGTGATATTTACATTATTTACAACAGATTTTATCCTCCGTAAACTGCTGTGAACCGAGGAGAGGCAGTAAGCTCGGGGACTAGACTCAAAGGTGACCTTTATCTCAGTCATACTGCAGGTAGAAACTTTAAAAGGTTGTTGAAATTTTTTTTGAAAATGTGACATTTTGAAGTCCCTCAGTTCATTTCAGATACAGTGCGAAGCCTGGGGGAATAGGTAAAGGACAGAAGGCGAGTGAGACGACAGGACGTGTCCTTCAGAGGAACAAAAGGAGTCTTTGTACATAAGGCTCATTGTTTTTTGGCTTTCAGTGTTCAGAAAGTGGCTTGAAAAAACCTTCACTGAAAAATTCCAACTGGAAACTATGCTTTTAATTTAACCATTTATCAAAACCTTTAACTGCTTAATTTTACTTAATTTGTTTAATGACATATTTTAAATATTTGCTAACAATTTGAAGTGCTGTAGTTTAATATTTATTTAAACCTAGCTTCCTATTTTAACAGTATATTTACTTTCTGTGCAGTACACAGTTATGTGAAAAAGAAACTAAGTGCACCGCACGATTTTTATCTTTTACAATCAATTTTAATCTTTCTCTGTATAACTTTATCACAGCTAAAGTTATCAGTCTCTCACACTGTCGTGCGGGAATTTTGGCTCACTCTTCTTTACATCCGGAATCAAATGATTAGTTCATTACCTGGCCTCTGGAGAACTTTAAGATGTGTCAAGGAGGTGATTTAGTTATTAAAATCAGCTGTGTTGGATCAATGACACATCTAAAACCTGCAGGACACCGGCCCTTGAGGCCTGGAGTTGGACATCCCTGTCTTAGATCATCGAGGTTTATGTTTGTGCACAGCTCTGTTAATGTCCTGTTAGAGGACCTCAATCAGGTAGAGGTCAGGAGTCATTGCAAGCCCTTGATTCTTTTGATTTTCCTGTTACATGACCCAATTTCAGCCAAGCGTTTGTTGTAAAAAAGATGGCCTCAAATTTTACTCTAGAATACTTTGATTACAGAGGAGTTCATGGTCAACTCAATGCACGCAAACCATACTTGTTCAGGCTTTTCTGGTTATACTATAAACCTCAATGTTTGTGTGTAAATTTTCATTTGTTTAATCTACACACAAACTTGGTGTACATGCATTAACGTAAGATTCCATACAGAATACACTCGCAAAATGTGAACTTTGGACAGAGAATTTTTTCTTTTTTTCCCCCAGTCTTTTTCCAGTTGAGGAAGTATCCTATGTTTAGATTTGCCAGTATCTCGCAGTAGGAAAAGTCAATTTCCCAAAATCCAGACAAATTCTGAGTGCTTCAAAACCAAAGCAAACACAACGAGCCTTCATGTGTGGCTATCATAAATATCAAACTTCTAGGGACTTTAACTTGTAAGAGAAAGCAATTAACCAGCAGTGTAAACAGGCACAGTACTCAATCACCTCCCCAGTTTGCAGGTGCAAGTAGAAGAAATGAGAGACGTCCTTCGGACCAGCAGAAGGAGGGCTGGAGGGCAAAGGCAGAAGAAATGCGACGTTTCCCGGAATAAATGGAAGACATCCTGGTTGCCTAGCAGCAGGGACTACAGAAACGATAATCTCTAAACCAGAGGGAGCATTTGAAAATGAGTCAGGTGTTCATATCTTAATGAAAGTGGTTGACGCCTTTTTACAGCCGTCCAATCAGTTTTTCCAGTGTCATTCAGATAAGAGGTAAGAGCCATTTACAAGAAATGGTAATACAGTCCAATCAGACTCTGGATCATAAAACAAGATGAGTTGAATAGCACCTTCATGGTGTCCCGACATCGATATAGTGTGCGTCCTTCAAGTAGCCGGGCATTGTGTCTCACAACAAAATGGGCATTTAATAGCATTCTAATAGAGCTCATCAGCAGCAGAGACGTGTCTTGTAAAAGTCTTCAGTAGTTTTAATGGCACAGACCAAAGGTGGGATGGTGTTCACAGGATAGACAAATAGTAGAGAAACTGGTTTGTGCAACAAACTCCCATTGTTGCAGACTTGTGCAGCTTCCAGTAGAAATAAAGAAGAAAAAACATACAAAAAAAACCCCCAAACAGTACATCCATCCAACCAAGGGAAGCAAAATGACTCCAGAGTAAAAGTAAGGGAACACGACTGCTTCCAGCAAATCAAAATAGTGAACAACTGTTCTAGACACTAAACTAAGTTTGGGGACACTTACTTGGTTGGTTTGACATGACACAGGTTGTATTCTAAATCATGTAAGAAGGGAAGTGTTGGGTTTTCACTTGATCTAAGGAAACTTATTATTTCCACTAACTTACATATTTGGTTTTCCAGATGGTATAGGATGGGCCACATTTGCTTGTTTTCCTGTCCTCCTCCTCCTCCTTTCCTTTCTTCAGTCAAGTTATAGAAAACAATCTGCATTCCTGACTGGACTTTTTGGATTCCACTTGGTGAATAAAGAATGTCTTCATGGCCCGATAGCGGATATGTTCTAGACCTGAGAGAACCTGTTTGTTGGTGATATGTTTGGGGTAGATTAGAAAGAATGCATTTTGATGACGAAGATTAAACTGAACATACTTTAAATCACATTCAATTTACTTTTTTCGGTTCTTGGCCAGGGGAGCCAGTGAGACCATATTTAAGGAACTTGTAGGGTTTCCAGACTAATGTTTGCTTTCTAATTAGCAAAGTAAAGTTTGTAAAGTAAAGCAAAGTAAAGATTCAATCACATTTCTGATTAAAGAATGTATAGTATCGTGCTCGATTCAAGCAGATGACGGGTGACTGACAGGACTTGCTGACTTGCAAAGGGAGAAATTGGATTAATTCCACATCACAAGAGAGGGAAATTGTTTTATACCTCACAACCAAAATGGGAATATTTGTGGAAGAAAATTGAACCAAATCATTTTGTTTCACAAAGCATGATGGGACTGGTTTCATGTCAAGTAGATTGAACTAGATTGGTTTTAAATGGTGGGACCTCTTTTCGGTCTTTAGAAGAATGAACATGTCCAAGAGAAAGAGGTGTAGAAACTTCTTCAAGTCCGATATGTTCTGTTCAGTTTCCTGAAGATGAAATTAAATAAAAGCCAAGAGGAAGTGATTGGTTTGGTTTTAAATGGAAACGAGAGAAAGCTAGAATTCAAAGCAGAGTTGTTGGCTTCTAGAAGTTAAAACTCATTTAACTAAGGTGACATGATGTCATGTAACAGGTTCTAGACCAGATTAAAGGGAACCGATCTGGTCTGGGAATTAATGAGACGTTCAGATATAAAGAAACTTTCTGGGTTTCCAGTGGACCAAACAAAGACTGTTCTGTTCTTGCATTCAATAAGGGGGATGTGTTTTAGACCAGAGGTGAGGGAACTTGCTTGGTTTCAAGTATTGGGGATTCTTCTGGTTCCTCTGGTTCCTCTGTTTCCAATGTGTCTCCACTGTTCTGCTCTTCAGCGCTGCTCACAGTGTTGGATTCTATAGGAGCCTCATCCTAGACAAACACACCATATTTTACTATGAAAATGAAAATAAGCATTGAGTATTGATGACCACCAAGTTAATAATTACTGTATTATTGTAGTATTGACGAGATTACATGTCTGAGTGCCCTTACCGTCACCCAGGGGTGCGACAGGACCTCCTCGGCAGTGAAACGGGCATCCACATTCACTTGCAGCATCTGACTTATCAGCATCTGAGGACCAGATCATGCAACAGTTACCAGTCTGCAGTACACCGTACCAATGTGCTGCTTACTAGGTCACACTGCTGTATTTCATGCTATGTGCCTTTGCTTTATATGGTTTCTCTTTTCACTTTGTCCTGCTGAATAGCCTCTAATTTTGAGATGGTTAAAATTCAGTTTTGTGCTTCCTAAACCCACTAAATAAGAGATCAAACCACTGAAACTTCATAAAAACTGGAAAAACATTAACTCAAAAACCATCTTAGCAAAATGCAGGGCTTTAGTCAATGGTGAAGCCACAAGATAATCATGTTTGTTCTTGAGCTGATGTCAGATACCAAACAATGTATTTACTGTTTGCAAACTTCATGAATGGTACCTTTGCTGGAAGACTGATGGTGTCCCAGTCTGGAGACGGAAACTCCAGCTTCCCTCTGAGGATCTGATCAAACAGCTCCTCCTGAATATTATTCTCACTGAGGAAGAGCAAGAATCAGGAAAAGCTGTTTATTAACGTAACCAAAATGATGGTAGGTCACATGATACCAAAGCAATACAAAAGACAAGACTGCGTTAATACAACAAATGAAACAATTAACACATGCACGACTGGATAAACAACAACTTTATGCTAACTCACCTTCTGAAAGGAGGAAATCCACACAGCAGGATGTAGGTGATCACGCCCGCCGCCCAGATGTCCACCTTTAGACCATAACTGCACACATACACAAACAAAACAGTGTAATATAAGAGACGGTCAACTATAAATAAACGTTTATAAGAAAAGGTAAGAAGTTTCTTTCTTTACAAGCAAAAAATAAAAGAAATATATATTGATACATTTCTGACTTAAGTTATACTACATGTTGTAAACAACAATATTTTTTTATAGCAACAGGATACAAAGCAATTATTCTGGAGGTCAATTTTTTTCAAAGACTTATTACATTAACTGTCACTAAATTTAAATATTTATATTTATTTAACATTCATATATATTTTAATAAAGTGAAATTTTGGTCTTTTCATTTGAATAATTCTTTTAAATTGAAGTTTTTTTCATTCATTTAATTCATTCATTATCCATTTAAAATTAAAGCTTTAGAATCAGACAACAATGCATCATATGTAATGTACATATATATAAAACCACCAAATATATTACATTTATTCAGACCACCACCAAATGTAAGGTATATGTCACAGCTGCCCTAAATTCACAGTATTTGTAATTAATTTTTACATTTCTATAATGGTTACTCCACCAGTATGTTCAAACTCTTTAATCAAAGTGATTAATTGCTAAAAAATAATGTTGTCACCCTGTGTATTTTCAAATTTACTGTTTTATAGAACAGCTGGAAAAAAAGTAATGCACAACTTTTGAATGAAGATGACAAATTAATGGGTTTTAGAGGCATTTATTTTAGTTTATTTTATTCTGCTAAGCAAATAACATATTGCAGTGTATCAAGAGCCAGCCTTTGACCAAGTCTGTACTGACAATTTTAAATTGGTTATTTATTATTTGGATCTGCTATTTTACATTTTTTATGAATGCAGCTGTAGAAATGAGACAGACAACAGGTCTTTAAATGTGCTCTTCATGTGCACAGCTTAATTTGCAGTATTTTTCTGCAGACCTAACAATCTAATATTCCTGCTTTCAACCATCTGTCCCAATCGACTTCAGAAAAGGAGATTAGCATAAATTTGGGGTTTTGTGACCTCCCTTACCCGGTCTCAGCGATGATCTCCGGGGCGACGTATGTCGGCGTGCCACAAACAGTGTACAGTGGTCCTTCCACCACTGTCGCCAAACCAAAATCCCCCAGCTTCAATGACTTAGTGCCATCTGGATATTCACAAACCTGCGGGATACAAATACATGAAATCTTCCCAAGGTGCACACAAAGACTGCAAACAAAGGAGGTAAACAGCTCCACAGGCTTATTTTACGAACCTGATAATCATGTTTCCAAATAAATCAGGAAGTCAACAGAAGTAATAATTACTCAGCATAATATATAAGTATAAGATACCTTTATTAGTCCCACGAGTGGGAAAATCATCAACCTATAGTTAAAACAATACAGCTTTTTTTTAAAGAATGACCTAAAAGAAGTATTGTAAATAAATTACTTACAAGGTATACACTATATATTACCTTCAATTTATGTTCAAAGTATTCAAAAAAGTAAAAAATTACTCATTAAAACGTGTCATGAACTTACACTGTTCTTAAGTTAAAGTTTGCCTTACTTACTTTAGGTAATCATTTTTAATGGTAAATGGCCTGTATTTGTATAGCGCTTTACTAGTCCCTAAGGACCCCAAAGCACTTTATACATTCAGTCATCCACCCATTCACACACACTGGTGATGGATGGCAAGCTACATAGCAGCCACAGCCACCCTGGGGCACACTGACAGAGGCTGCCGGACACTGGTGCCACGGGGCCCTCTGACCACCACCAGTAGGCAATGGGTGAAGTGTCTTGCCCAAGGACACAATGACCGAGACTGTCCAAGCCGGGGCTCGAACCGGCAACCTTCCGATTACAAGGTGAACTCCCAACTCTTGAGCCACGATTGCCCCAAAAACACATTAAAATTGTAAATGTAAAATAAACAATGAAGAGGTGCATTGTTTTTAGACTACAGTTTATATGATTTAAAATTCAAGAAACTGTTAAAATAAAAGCTCCACAATTTTTTTTCCATCTTTTCTGAACCAAAAAAAACGTAACTGCAAAAAACAAATTCAAGTATTGTGAACACGATGTGTGCGTGTTCGTACCAGCAGGTTCTCTGGTTTGATGTCTCGGTGTACGATGTTCATTCGGTGCAGGTACTTGATGGCTCCGGCCAGGTTGAACACCATGGCGCTGGCGTCTCGCTCGCTGTACTTTGTAGAGGAAGTGATGGCGTCGAACAGATCTCCGCCCTGAACAGACAAAGGCATGAAAATAATACATTTGTTGTGTTTCATAAAAAGAATAAGAGCACTGGAGTGTTAGCAACTTTTGTGGTGATTGAAAAGTTCTTCGGTTTCTTTATTTTTCTACATGAAAAACAGAGGCAGCAACAGAAGCTGAAACCTGAAAAACATTCAGTTCATAGTTTTTGCTTCAATAAGCAGCTGAAAGTTCCCAATGTAATAACACTTTCTGGAGAAAACAGGAAGAAGAGGCGAAACCTTGACGAGCTCCATGACCAGGAACAGCTGAGTGGGCGTTTCGTCCACCTCGATTAACTGGATGATGCTCGGATGTCGAACCCTCCTCAGGACCGCCACTTCATTTTCTATCAGGTGCTCCTGTTTACACACACACAGAGGTTTGGTGTCTTCATCATTTCAGAGGACTTTACATAAACTCAGGATTAGTCAGAGATCAGTGAGTCTTACCTTCCCACAGCAACGAGCTTTGTCTATGATCTTCAGAGCATACTCCTGTCCTGTTGACCTGTCAGTCAAACAAAGATAAAATATTACAGATTCACACACCTCCTGAATCCCAGTGTTGAGCTACTGCACTCAGAGGGCCACACTGAGCCTGAGAATAATACACAAAATCTGTCTGTGTTTGTTTCTTTGACCACAAACTTCTCCAAGACCATCAGAAGTTCAGCAGCCAACCTTGGCACACAGGTATATCTTCGGTCCCTTGAGGTTCTTATGTATATCACATCATGTTGCCTAGCAAACATTTAGCATTTCTGGACCTATAACACCTTATACCTTATAAAAGCATTGCA